TGCCCAGCCTTGATGGAGTGTAACATCCCCACCTCCAGGGGCTGAGCTGTGCAAGCTGCCTTCACCCAGAGCTGAGCAGAGGCTCCCTGACAGGCTGGCATTGCCCTGGTGTGTGGGAAGAGGGCAATATTGGCACCCAGAGTGGCATCCCAGAGGCTGAGCTGCCCTGGGGCCAGCTGCATTCATGTGGGACTATAAACACAACAGTGTCCCTTCTCCCTGGCTCCCAGCCTGGCACTGTCACCGCTGTCAGGGCCACAGGGTGTCCTTGGAGGGGGATTTTTGTAGTTCATCTATCTCCTCTGCATCCTGTGCACAATCAGGGCTGGACTCTTCAGGAACAGGCTCACACTGCTGGCAAAACAGAGTTGTTTTTCCTTTTCCTTGTCACTCACTTCCCCTCCCAACCTTCAGAGTGTGTTCAAGGACAGCAGAGCTTTGGGATGCCAGGACAGCTCCAGGGACAGCCCTGCCTGGAAGGAACCTCCCAGGGAGCCAGACTTTGCCCTCCTTTCCAAGGCAACGCCTTGGCTGAGCTTGTGCTGAACCTTCTGTCCCTGCCTGGACCTTGCAGGTGATTCCCAAGAATTCCTCTCCTCACACTGCAGCAGCTTTTTTAAAGTAAAAGCTTTTCCATATAGTTTTATAGCACTCTACAACATCTAACTGAGTAATCCTTACTCCCAGATGTCATCAGATGCCTGGGGTGGATGAGCTGCTGCTGGAGAAGGCTCCCAAAGGCACCTCACCTGTCTGATCAGGGCATGTTACATCATCCCAGTGCTGACTTCACCATTTATTTGCTTTTAGAAGCAGGAGTGCTCACCTGGGCTCTCAGATCCCTGGAGCTTCCCTGAGCAGGCAGAGATGCCTCTGGGTGGCCCCTGTCCTGTCAGCCAGGTGTGGCTCTGGGGAAATACCTGCTGGATTTGGGATTGGTACCTCCATCAAACCCTGATCCTGTTCCAGCTCAGAACTCTGTGTGTGCCTGAGTCCCAGTTTTAATGTCTGAATTTGCCTGAAGCACCTCAGGGTGTGTTTTATTGGATAAAAAAATCAAAATGCACTGATATTGGTGACACCAGCCCCGCTCTGAACATGGCACTGATGTTCCTGGCAAGTCCCCTGGGGTGGGTGTAGCCCAACCTGGCTGTCCTGAGCCCATGGATGTTTTTTTAAGTGTGCATTTGGCTTTTTTTAAGCTGGAAAAAATATTTATTTTCTGCTCACAGGAAGGCAAAGCTGGCTGAAGGAGAGCTGTGGCAGGGGGTTTGAAGGGTCAGTGCACAAACCAGCTGCTCATGAGGCCATCAATAAGAACTTTCTGTACCCACACACTTGGCCAGGGACAGAGATTTGGCTCTGTCAGGCATTTGGCAATACCTGAACCCCCTTGGTTTGCCTATCTCCTCCTGGCATCTCTTCCTGAGGTTTAGTTACTGATTCTGTGGTGAAATGTGCAGCAAAGTTCTCCACGCTCGTGCTCAGGGGAAGGACTTTGTTTACAGTTTCAGCTGCTTCTTAACTCATTGTCCACACAGGTTTAATTTTAATAGGGCTCCCTTGCTTTTGAAACCTCATCTAGGCTGGTATCACAAAGGAAAAATTCCATTTTTAGGTAATAAATTGATGCATATCTTTGGTGTGGCTGAAGGTTGATGTCTTGTGCTTCTCCTACTCCAAAAGGGTTGCTCCCAAATCCAGCCTGTCCATGTGGGCATTTCCCACCAATAAGGTGTTTTGGAACAATTTGATAGAGAAATCACAGAACCATGGAATGGTTTGGGTTGGAAGGGACCTTAAAGGTCCTGTTGTTCCACCATCTGACTGAGGGCACTGTTCAGCTCCTGCTTTGCTTCACGTTGAGAGGGTCAGCAGGAACCACAGCAGGGTTTCTAATCAAATTACTTGTGAATTGGAATTTTTCTGGCTTCTTTCAATAGTTGTCTTTACTCTGTGCTTATTATACTACATCCATTTGCTCATTATAATACTTCAACCTGTGTTTAAATGTAAGCTTTTCCAGTGAGAAGGAGGGGGGCGGGGTTGGTATTTAAAAGCAGTCTTTATTTTGTCGTGTGCAAGCAAAATTCTTTCCAGTTTGGCATGAAATCCTTTTCAAACAGGCAGAAGGGAGGGGAATGTGCAGCTGGGGGTGGCTGCTGTCACCTCTTGGGCTCTCTCTGTCTGTGACCAAGCCACCAAGGCAGGTCAAGCCTCTGCTTCCCTTTGTCCCACCTGCTGGAGCATTAATGGTGTTTCTAGAAAGTGCAGCATAAATCCAGTAAAGCACTTAAGCAAGTCCCAGCTTTAGGTGTGTAAGTGGTTTTGGTGGATTGATGCTTTTTGCAGTGGGTGGGAGCTTTAGAGGCTTTTGTTTGTTCTCTGCAAGACAGGCACAGGCTGTGCCCTGGTGGAGTTCCCTGGAGCAGCCCCTGACTTCAGCTCTGGGCAGGTTTGTGTCGTGTTTAACTTCAGGGAGGTGCTGTGTGGGATCTCAGCATCTCAGTCCTGAGGTGCCGAGTCACTGAGACCACCCTTGGGGGGCTCGGGACTCCTGGAATGTTCCAGAAGTGTCTGGTGGCTGGACTTTGATCCCACACAGGAGACAACACCTGTATGAGGACAGGAGGGTTTCACCGGGGTGAATGGTGAAGGGATTGGTTAATTAGAGAGTGAGACACAGGGTTTAGGATTTCTGTACAGGGGGGTTTAGAGAAGTAAGATGGAGGAATTGGGGCGTGTCCTGTCCTTCTTCTTCTTCTTCTTCTCCTCCATCTTCTGTGGTGATGGTGGCACTTTGGGATTGGTCATTACTGAAAGTGCACCGGACAATAAGAATAAAAAGGATTGGGGAAAAATGATAAATATTGTACACGTAACCATGGGTATAAAGATAGGTGACTGTCCGGAGGGCAGCACAGTGTGCTCATGGCTGGCTGCTGAGCAGAGCTCTGTCAGGCTGAGAGAAAATCTTTTAGATAAACAATTAATAAACACCGAGACCGAAAGAAGAACTGAAGCCTCTTCTCGTCCTTTGAAACGTGGGCTGCCCCAAGGCCACCCCGGGCCTTTCCAGGCCACCCAAACAGCCAAAAACCGGACAGTGCTGGTGTGTGGAGAGCCTGGTTTAAGCATGGCTTAAAGAAAGAGGCCATGAAGGTATTCAGCTGAGGGAAATATAGAAGCCTGCTGTAAAAGCAGCCTTTCCCAGGCTTGATCCTGTAAATAATTAGGTTCTCAGCCACCTTTTATATAAACAACAAAATTCTCAGACCGTTCTGTCCTTGGCTACTACTGAGAACAGACAGCCAGTCTGGGAATAGATATGAAGGTTTTGAGAACCTTTCATATCATGGTGGGAGCACTGATCTTGGTTTCAGTAAACTAACTTCAGGTATTGTAAACAAAAGGAGGAGCTGAAGCTTTCTCTACAGCCTGTCAGGAGCTCAGATTTTGCAATATGCATGAAGTGAATTAGCACTGTTATAAAAAGTGCCTGATTGATGAATAAAGTGGAGTGGATGCTGATCAAATGAAAGATGGGTCTTCTCCCTCCATCTTCAATACTGGTGTCCACAAAGCAGGTGGGAGCTGAGCCAGGCTGCCCAGAGCAGCTCCTGTGCTGAGTGTGGTGGGCACAGGGCTGGGAGAGCAAAGCAGGCCTGGGCTGAGGCACTTGGCTGCTCCCAGTGGCCACACGGAGTGGGAATTGCTGGTGTCAGCTCTCTCTCCATCCCTTCAGGGCTTTCTATGCCTTTTTGCCCCTGGAAGTATCCAAGGTCAGGCTGGGTGGGGCTTGGAGCCACCTGGAATAGTGGAATAGGCAGGGAGTGGAATGAGATGGACTTTAAAGTCCTTTCCAACCCAAACCATCCATGATTTTATGAATACAGTGCTTTGAGAAACGTGATTTTCTCCAAAATCCTTGGAAAAAGCCCTGAAAGCTGTTCTGAGTGCCCTGGCAGGGGAAAAGGGTTTTGCTTCAGTCATGCCCACATTCAAACTGCTGCTGTTTTGCTCTGCTGCTGTGCTGGAGGAGCAGCTGAGCATGTGGGATCCCACCAGGTGAACTTCAGGAGGAGCAGAAGGGTTTCCATGGGCAGCTCTTCCCCTGGAGGCCTGGCAGGAGGGCTCCCACCCCTCTGCCCAGTGACAGGGGATCAGCAGCAGCTCAGCACCAGCACTGGCACATCCCAAAATTCCTTGATTTGCTCTGAGGCATGTTGGGGAAATTCCCAAATCTTTAGAGAGGAGCTGGCACTGTGAGGGGGAACAAGAACTTTGCCTTTTGGGGGGTTCTGCTGCTGCTGCCATGGTTCTCCAGAGATCAGCATCAGAAGGGATTGTCCCTGCCTGTGTGTGGGAGCTGATACTGAAGCTGAACCTGCCTGGGGTGCAGAACTGGAAAACTCAGTTCTCCTTGCTCTGTAAATCTTAAAACACAAACCCAAATGGATTTGAGATGCTGCTCCAGCTGAAGTGTGGGGATTTGAGTCCCTGCAAATCAGAGGCTGTAACGAAGATTTACAAACGAAGATTTACAAACAGTTTATTTGCTGTTGAGGGATGGAAGGTTTTACCAGATAGGACAAAAAAAAAAAGTGCTCCAAGGGCTAATTGAGGAGTTTTGAATGGTGGTTTTTGCAGAGGATTCAGATTAATAACAACATGTCCTCTTGGAATGGGGTGGGAGAAAGCAGCAGTGATGGGAACTGCTGAGTCAGCAGTGGGTAATCCCTCCTGCCCTGGCCAAATCCATCCTGGCTCACAACAAAACCTCCCTCCAACTCTTATTTAGTCCCTGTGTCTGTGATCTGCTTCCCAAGCCCTGCAAAGGCTGAGGTGCACCCTGTGGTGCCCACAGAGCAGCACCTGGGCCTGGGGTGATTCCAGAGGTTGGATTCCTGTGCTCAGAAATGCAACACGGCCAAAATTCTGCCACGACCCCACTCAGCTGTAGAATCTTATCGTTTTGCTTCTTGTGTATTTGTTTTAAGCAGGCAAATGAGGTGACTGACAGTGCCTACATGGGCTCAGAGAGCACCTACAGCGAGTGTGAGACCTTCACAGATGAGGACACCAGCACCCTGGTGCAGCACGAGATGCACGACGAGGTGGAGACCGACAGCGCCATCGACTCCGCCGTGCACTCGGAGTTCACCGATCCCATCGAGGAGCCGGAGCATGGGTGAGCAGAAACCCCACACAGGGCATGGGGGACACACAGCCCCAGGTTATTTTGCTGGAAATTGGGCTGTTCTTCTGATGCCTTGTGCAGGCTGCCCTAGAACAGAGACTGGACAGAGTTACAGAGTAAAGCAGGGATTTGTTAGGAGGGTTCGATGGATCCACCTTGGGCAGCACAAGAGCCCAGCCAGGGCTGCACCCAAGGTGAACCAAAATGGGCACAAAATGAATCACAAAATGCACAACCAGTCACGTTTATAAGTTCTGCCCCATTTGCATATTGGACTTAATTCATCAGTTATACCCCCAGCCCATGAAGTCCCATCCTCCTTGTTTTCTCTCTTCAGTCCATGTTGTTGATGCTCTTGGGCCTGAGATTTGGATCATTTGTCCTTGCTCCCCAGCTAGAGAAGGAATTGTTTTGTCTCCCTGCTCTGTGAAGAGAGCTCACCATCCCCTAATACAAATCCCAGACCCACACACTAGAGCTGTACAGATTATGAAAAATATAAAAGCTAAAACCTGAGGCATCATTTTGTGTTTGTAACAACGTGCAAGACCAAAATAGCACTTCTGGAGGAATAAGGAGAATAATTAGGCTGGTTTGTGTAGGCTGGTTTGGAGCCCAGCCTGGCAATCTCTTTGAGTTAATCGTTGCTTGCCTTGGGAGATCTTCTGTACCCTCATTAGCATCTTTAACCTCTAAAATAACTTCTCAGGTGATCCAAACACCTGAAAGACTTGCAGTTTTTAATCTATCACTTAAGCCAGAAACACAACATATAATTTTCCAGTCAGGAGGGGAACTCGTTCTATTTTTGTTTTCCCTAAAAACATGTGTGTCCTTTGATGTGCAACCACCTCCTGTAATAACTGGTTTGAAACCTCTGCCTGGAGCACAGAAATGTGAGCCAAGATCTCCTTCCCTGGGTCTGAACTGCTGCTGGCAAAACTGCTCCTGGGCCCATCCCATTTTTGGAGGAAAAGCGGGGTTTGGGGTGAAACTGGGATGCTGGCAGGCAGGAGGGCAGGGAAGAAGTCCTTTAGGATCAGAATCACAGAATGGTTTGGGTTGACAGGGACCTTAAAGCTCATCTCATTCCACCCTCTGCCATGGGTAGGGACACCTTCCACTAGACCAGGTTTGTCCAAGCCCCATCCTGGACATGTCAGTCCATGTGCCAGTGCCAGATTAGTGCCCCAAGAACACCAATCTACACCAAAACCTCTGGAATCATCTTTGCTTAAGGTCTGTAATATACAGAAAGAGGTTTGTCCCAAAACACAAAACCCAGGGTTGGTGCTCCAAGGAGTGCTTACAGCTCTGCTTTTTGGGAGCTCCGAGCTTCCCTCCCACCCCAGAATCCCATCTGGGGACACCAGAGAGGCAGCAAGCAGCACCAGGCTGGGACTTAAAGGGTGCTGTGGATTAGAGCAGAAATGGGATTATCCAGCTGGGCTCTTCTCACTGCAGCAGGCCAGCTCAGTGACAGTTAAATTGGGAGATAATCAGCTGAGAGCTCCCTGCCAGCAGCACGGGGTCCCTGCAGGGCCATGGCAGCCTGCGTGCGCTCCCGCCCGCTGGGGAAGGCAGCCTGCCTGGGATTCACCTGCCTGTAGGTACAGAACTGCCTGGGGAAAGGGGGAGAGGATTCACCTGCCTGTAGGTCCAGAACTGCCTGGGGAAACAGGGGAGAGGATTCACCTGCCTGTAGGTACAGAACTGCCTGGGGCACTGGGGGAGAGGATTCACCTACCTGTAGGTACAGAACTGCCTGGGGCACTGGGGGAGAGGATTCACCTGCCTGTAGGTACAGAACTGCCTGGGGAAACAGGGGAGAGGATTCACCTGCCTGTAGGTACAGAACTGCCTGGGGAAATGGAGAGGATTCACCTGCCTGTAGGTACAGAACTGCCTGGGGAAAGGGGAGAGGATTCACCTGCCTGTAGGTGCAGAACTGCCTGGGGAAACAGGGGAGAGGATTCACCTGCCTGTAGGTACAGAACTGCCTGGGGAATTGAGGGAGAGGATTCACCTGCCTGTAGGTACAGAACTGCCTGGGGAATTGGGGGAGAGGATTCACCTGCCTGTAGGTACAGAACTGCCTGGGGAACTGGGGGAGAGGATTCACCTGCCTGTAGGTACAGAACTGCCTGGGGAAACAGGGAAGAGGATTCACCTGCCTGTAGGTCCAGAACTGCCTGGGGAATTCAGGGAGAGGATTCACCTGCCTGTAGGTACAGAACTGCCTGGGGAACTGG